ATGATAATGATTTAATTTGGCCCTCCATATTGGGAGGTTGCACCAAATGATATTACATACAATCTGAACTAACTTTGTTATGTAAAAAAATAAAGATCAATATTTTAAGAGCCTTATTGACCAAGGTTGTTTTTTAGGTGTCCACTTCCTGAACTTAAGCCAGCTCCTTGTTTCCTGTCTGCCATTATTGGCCACATTGATTAATCCAGGTGTGCCTGACCTCAGTAGACATGGCAACAATAATCAGACACACCTGAATTAATCAATTTGGCCAGTAATGGCAGACAGGAAACAAGGAGCTGGCTTAAGTTCAGGAAGTAGTGCAGCTGTGCATAAAACCCATACAGCTTTTTTTTTTCATTAGGATATCAGGACAGTAGTAGCCTACCACAATAAAAAATGTTTTCAGTTTTTATTTGTCACGTTTTTGATCCAAAATGCAATGCAAGTTATTTTAGATGAAAGCATCTTCATCCTGCAAAAATAATTCAGTGCTGACAGTTATGAATTCAGTAGGCCTACCTGGTGGCCTATCGTGTAGTATTTGTGTTTCTCTTGCGCCCTCCGCCGGCTGACTGGTGGTACTGCAATAATTCCATCAGGAACGACAGCGTCTGCCGCTTTGTCTTCCTCCCTCTTGTCACCGACGGCAGTTTCCGCTGGGGCCATGTCATTGCTCAGTTCCGGTGCTTTTGATGGATTACTAACACAGGTAAGATTACAATAAGAGGATTATTAGTTTAACACTTGAACGAGAATAAGATTAAAGATGATGAAAAAATAATAAACAGGGAAAGCCAATCAGATTTGGCACCAAGTCGTGCTATGCTTCATTTATCATTGTGCATAATATAATGCATAACAGTGCATAAAAAACTGTAAACCACAACTGAAAAGAACTGATACCACACTTCTGAAGCCCACTGCTTTTAAATGACCTTTAAATCACCATAACACACACACTTCTTTTTCTATCATGGTGGGTTTATCCTTTTTCCATTGACGTCGATTGTTTTTAAGTTGAGCTAATGATATTGTTTTGATATATAGTTAAATGAAATTATTATTATTTTATGCATGACTTGTTTTTACAAGATATCCCAGATATTCCCTATAGGTTTACCTCACTTCTGACAAATTTGTCCCCAAATTCTAAGTAAATAATAGTGTTAAACACACACACACGTTGGGTGTTCATGTTTCATGGGGACATTCCATAGACAGTGATGTTTATACAAACTTTTAAACAAACTGCATATGCTATCCCCCTGAACTACCCATCAAAGAAAACTTCCTGAATTTTTACGTTTGCAAAGAACATCACTTTGTATTATTAAGTACGATTAGGCCTTTTCCTCATGGAGACCAAAACATGTCAAGCGACTCTGACATGGACAGACACGCTGACGTTTATAAACACGCACACCCTTACTATGTCTGATTCACACACTTCTCTGTAAAATGAGTCATATTTACCTAGGCATGAATCTCACAGGCAAGAAGTTCATTAGGTGTGTGATTCATAAGACTCGCACACACATGTTCTGAGAAAGATCTAAAAAGTCAGCCCACGTTTGACATCACTTTTTTTGCTATACATCAATTCCGCTCACCTTGTCAACATTATCAGCAATCTATTGAAAATACCCGGAACGTACGTACGAACACACCACCATTCACATCCACATATGTTTACAAATTCACATCTGTCCTGCATAGCATGGCATATACTGTACATAAGCACACAGTAATAACACATACGTACGTTAGAAAATGATATACAAGCAATTTAAGTGCCATTACATCCGCCCTAGTAAATTGACAGTACAATCTCAACTTAGATGTGATTCTTATTTCAGACATTATCCTTAGCCATTCGCACACACACACATACACACACTCGTGTGTCTTTCTCAGTAGATACCTGGATTTATCGGTGTCCATTTTCCTCAGTCAGACAGACATCTTAAAGGTCTCTTTCTCTCCCACTTGTCTCCCTTCTAGTACTCTGTGTATTTTTCTTTTTCGTTCTTTAACCCTTCCTTCAGTAACAGGTTGAGCAAGCGAGACAGGATTCTTTAGTCTTAGATCTCAGGTCTGGCTGCACCCTGAGAGGATAAACCTGATCAAGACATTAGTGTTTTCTGATGTGATTGACAACCAGCCATCCGTAGATCACAGCATGTGAAGTTATAATTGTTTGTGATTATAGATTTGTGGTTTAGTCTCACATAGACAAGCATGTGCACACACACACACACACACACGCACACACACAACCAAACAGGAAATGAATATGCCTAGTTGGATTTGATTGTTTGCCCAATAAAAACCCATAATTATGATGTTACAGTGATATTTAGGTAGATTTGGCTCAGGTTTGTTCTTCAAGTTTACATTTATTAGATTTTTGGCCATTTTATTATATTTTAAGATATGTTCACTGTACAAATTGTGTAGTACCGTAAGTCAACCAGTGAAAACATGCAGCTCAGCTGATTCAAAATAAAGAACAGGCCTGAGAAATATCAGACAGGAACTAATTCAATTGGATAAGAATGCAGAAAAGCAACATTGCACATGATCATAACAGACATGCATTAAGACATAATTACACAAATACCTTCATCAAAGGAGGATACGGCTGGATGGTGCTTGTCTAGTGTTAAGGGTCTGCTTATATAACAGTAGATTTAGTGCTGGTGAACTCTTTCATTAAAGCTTTTACTACCAGGTTTCTCAAGAGAGGCTCCTAACAAACGTTTCTATCTAAAAACGGAAATCACTAAAGCAAATTACACATTCAAAATATAAACATTTTTTTGGAAATATTTGAATATCGTGCAAAAGTGATAATTTTGATGATTATGGCTTACAGCTTATTAAAGCCCCAATTTCAAAATTACATGAAAATCAATAATAAAAAAAAAGATTTTAAATACAGAAATGTCGGCTCTCTGAAAAGTACAATCATGCAAATATATATATATATACTGCCCTACAAAGCAAAAAGGCAGTAACTGCAGTTTTGATAAAGCATTAATTATTACAATTTTCATGACATTCAAGGCATCCTTTGTTATATGACAAAACATCTTATCTTAAATGCGTGTCGTTTTAGATAAAAATGGTAGTCGTTTGTACAGTAACTGCAAAAAGCCCTAGCAAAAGTCATTTTTCTCAGTTCTGCACTCTGCGTAGTTACTGCCTTTTTGCTTTGTAGGGCAGTATATATATATATATATATATACTAAATATATTAGTTTCACATTTTAATTTGAATTACTGAAATACATTAACTTTTGCACGATATTCAAATTTTTCGATCATAATAATCTTTTTTACACATGAAGTCACCATATATGGGTAAATCATACAGGAATTATTAAAAAAGTGAAAAAGTTGGAATGTTTTTTGGGAATGTTTATAGTCTTCGGGGACATCTATTTATATATAATGAGATATGAATGCACAGAAATTGAAATGGTCCTCACGGCAGAAGACGAAATCCAGGGGGAGGAGTTGGATCCAGATCCTCCTGATCCTTAACCCCACCCCTAATCCTACCATATCCATCCCTGATCCCTAACCCCACCCCTAATCCTACCATATCCACCCCTGATCCCTAACCCCACCCCTAATCCTACCATATCCACCCCTGATCCCTAACCCCACCCCTAATCCTACCATATCCACCCCCTGATCCCTAACCCCACCCCTAATCCTACCATATCCACCCCTGATCCCTAACCCCACCCCTAATCCTACCATATCCACCCCTGATCCCTAACCCCACCCCTAATCCTACCATATCCACCCCCTGATCCCAAACCCCACCCCTAATCCTACCATATCCACCCCTGATCCCTAACCCCACCCCTAATCCTACCATATCCACTCCTGATCCTTAACCCCACCCCTAATCCTACCATATCCATCCCTGATCCCTAACCCCACCCTAATCCTACCATATCCACCCCTGATCCTTAACCCCACCCCTAATCCTACCATATCCACCCCCTGATCCCTAACCCCACCCCTAATCCTACCATATCCACCCCCTGATCCCTAACCCCACCCCTAATACTACCATATCCACCCCTAATCCCTAACCCCACCCCTAATCCTACCATATCCATCCCTGATCCCTAACCCCACCCCTAATCCTACCATATCCACCCCTGATCCTTAACCCCACCCCTAATCCTACCATATCCACCCCCTGATCCCTAACCCCACCCCTAATCCTACCATATCCACCCCTGATCCCTAACCCCACCCCTAATACTACCATCTTCACCCCCTGATCCCTAACCCCACCCCTAATCCTACCATATCCACCCCTGATCCCTAACCCCACCCCTAATACTACCATCTTCACCCCCTGATCCCTAACCCCACCCCTAATCCTACCATATCCACCCCCTGATCCCTAACCCCACCCCTAATACTACCATATCCACCCCTGATCCCTAACCCCACCCCTAATCCTACCATATCCATCCCTGATCCCTAACCCCACCCCTAATCCTACCATATCCACCCCTGATCCTTAACCCCACCCCTAATACTACCATCTTCACCCCCTGATCCCTAACCCCACCCCTAATACTACCATCTTCACCCCCTGATCCCTAACCCCACCCCTAATCCTACCATATCCACCCCTGATCCCTAACCCCACCCCTAATCCTACCATATCCACCCCTGATCCCTAACCCCACCCCTAATCCTATCATATCCACCCCCTGATCCCTAACCCCACCCTAATCCTACCATATCCACCCCCTGATCCCTAACCCCACCCTAATCCTACCTATCTCCACCCCTTAGATCTGGATCCAACTCCGCCCTCTGGATCTCGTGTACTGCAATGAGGTGCAACTGTAGAAATTAGCTTGTATATTACATTACACATTTCTAAAGAAAGACAATGTGAATTAAAAGTATAAAAACCCAAGTCTGCTGTTGAAACAAGATGAAAAGGAGATGCTTTCAAGTGGTTTTCAAGTTCTATTAAAGTTTAATAGAAGAACAACTGTTTTGGGGACACGAGCCAAATATATAACCAGCAGTGTAATAACTAAAAAATACATTTCAGCTGCAGAGGATAGAACATTTAAAAAATTGTTTCAGCTAACAAATACGTACCTTGATTCTCTTGATAATACAAATCATCTGTGGTCAAATCAGCTTTAAATTTGCACACGCACCTTAATGCTATTTTTTTGCTGAAGCACCATATTAAAAGCCCATGAGATATACAAAAACATATGACAATACAAATGCAATTAAAGAGAGCTTTTGTTTAAAAATAAATCTATACAGTTGAAGGCATTTTTTGGTAAATCCCACAAAACATGCATCAGGCCACATTTCATAGGTCAGGTTTTGTGCTATTATAAGTACAACTGTGAGAAAATATCCATGATGTCATCTCTATTAAATGAGTAAAAAATGACAACCCGAACCCCAGCCACCCCTCCACCCTTGCCCAGATACATGATATAAACTTTGACAGCACTTGAAAAAGCTTTGATGAAATATATACAACATTCACATAACATTTTAGTGTGAAATCTTGAGACCTCTGAAAATATGCCGTGGTGTTAAGCAGTAATACAGCAGTAGATGCACTTTCACTCTCAAGGGAAGGAATCCATTGGAACTGAGTGAAAGGTTAAGGTCTCTATTAATGCCCTGTTCTCCATTTTCCTCCAATGCGCCTCATTATGAAGAGCTCGTGTCCTTCGAAAGGAACCTGTTCTCGATGTTGTCTGCACAGCTAGCCAAATACATGTCCTTTAATGTATCTATGAACATCTGGATGCGGTGATATGGCAAAACATTGTTCCCTCCTCCACTGCCACTGTCACTCCAAACCTTCAGCATCTGATAGTGGGCATCCTTGCAGTTCCGGTGGTCTTGTTCTGCCCTGTCAATGTTCTGCTCGGAAACACCAAGCCGACGTGCAAGTTCTTTAAATCGTCCGATAGGGACCTCATCCAGCACAAAATAGAAGAACTCGTGAACTACAAGAGCGATAGCCAGAGAAAGAAATGGGGGAGAGAAAGACAACACACATGAATAATCTTAAACCGTCATTACCCAAGCTTCCAGGTATTTGTGTGTTGAAACAAATACACACAGACATACTTTTGATCTCTCTGGGGATGCAGTCTGGGAGTGTTCTGTGCTGTTCTGGTTCGCATTGCTGATTTCTAAAAGGAACGCTCTCATCTAAATTGTCTGATGGCACCGTGATAGTAAATGTCTGTGGAAAACATAAAATAAACATAATTATTTATTTAATAACATGCATAAAACAATCATTTCAGTTGGAGATTCTATGGTCAATCTTCTGACATATGCGAGAAACTGTCTATGAATTTTCTTGCCGATGATTTTTCACTGAGCCACTGTGCCGCCCGCATAAAACAATACAATAACCAACAACAACACCGGCCAAACAGATACAAAAATACATGTGTTCTATGAAGGTATTGCAGGAGTCCTATGGACTGATAATTATTTAGAAATTTCTTCGATTTTTTTTTTTTTTTTTTTTTTTACAACAGACGTCTTCAATAAACAAATTGAAAAAATGCATTAAACTATATTCAGTATATTCAAAGTTAAAGGTGAGGTAGGTAGAAATTTTCTAAAAAAAAAAATTCCCAAAATTTGTTTAAACTGTCTATATATACCAATACATAATTAAAATGTAAGTACTCGGAAAAAGAAAGTATACAAATCGAGTGTCTGTAGTCCCCTCAGTGCTGCAATAAACAGCTCATTATTTCATTCACTCCCACCCCCTCCCGTCTGGGATCCTTACAAAGCCACGCCCCCAAAACACATGAACGCGCGCTGCCGACCGCGCACAGATAGAGGACGCGTTTACCAGCGCCGCGGAGAGGAGCAGTCCATGTAGTGACATCATGTCAGAATCACATGTAATAAAATGCCTTACTTTTTAGCAAATCGATACTGTAATGGTAACGTTTAAAATATATTGAGTTTGATTCGGTAACTAAAACTAGACCAAACTAACCAATCTGTGAGGAGAGCGCGGCTTACAATAAAGGTGAAGTTTATGAAAAATAAGACTTTTTAAAAAAGAAAAACCACGAATACATGTTATATTGCACCCCATAAACACATTCATGCAAAAAAAAAAAAAAAAAGCAGTAACCCCCCCCTTTAAATAATACCGTAAAATAAGCCTTGGTGAGCATAAGTACAACACAGTTTAGCGTTATTATATGTCATTATTTTTATTATGGGAAATTAGTTTGGTTAAGAGTCCAAAAGAAGGGGTAAGTATACGTATTAGTATATCATCAAAACTGAATCATTTTCTGTGAAAAGAGCACTTCAGTAATTATGCATTTAGCATCACACGTGAATCATTCACACTGAGATGAATGGTGTGTGTGGTCTCTTCGTGTCATAGGTTGATCAATAAGTTTACCTGATCTTGGGGAGCAGCTGATGAGGACGGCGCTGACAATGCACGTTTCCTCTTCCTCTGAAGCCTGATGCCTTCATATAACATAAACACTCCCAATGCTACAACCGTGATGCATGCACAAACGGGAACCAGTATTTGAGGTAATGCACCTGAAAGATCAATATGATGAGAAACACACAATTAAATTCAGCTCGCCTCTTGCCTGAAGGCATGCTGTTTTTGGACCGCAGATACACTTTGCTTAGTCATGGCAGGGCAAATTCAAAAGAACACGAACACTAAACGGGACTTCCCAAGATTACTCATGTTTTTCAGAAATTTCTGTCCTGATTCAGTTTATCAATACACTCTAAATTCATAGTTTGCCAAGAGTTGCCTGTTTGGTATCACGATATGAGGAAAGCTCCCCGACATCAACAAATGACTCTTTTTGAATGGATGTTGATCAGTACTCACCTGAAGGATTTCGAGGGGAAATAACAGGGATTGCTGGACTGCTGGTTATGCACAAGTGTTTACACCATTTCCCACATCTATAGGGCATAGAGAAAACTTAACTAAACATGTTGATTATTATGTTATTCAGAGCCTTTAATTGATCTGTTATAGAGCCCGACCGATAAAGGATTTTGAAGGCTGATACCGATTCAAATATTTGTTGGTTTTAGAATCCGATTTTTTTTTCCAGAAACGTGCAACAAAACTTCAACAGATTTCCCAAACATTAGTTATTTGTAGTTATTTATGAGTTTTAACGAAAACAATATGATAAATAATGCATTTTAAAAAGAAACTTGTTTCTTTTATTGTCACAACAGAACAGAGGAACATCAAAATATATTAAAGTTCTGATAAATAAAATAATATAATAATATACAACTCCAACACTCATGACATGGTTGAAGCGCGTTTCGTCCGTTTTTATTTTTAATTTTTGAAATATTCATTTATCGGCCATTATAACTGCCGATACCGATAGTATGGAAAATTCTTAATATCGGCCTGCCGATAAATCGGTCTGGCTCTAATCTGTTAATTAGCCACAAAAATAATCCTCAGGGGCCTATTCAATTCACTTCAGTGTTTGTGAAGACCAGCAACAACAAGCAGAGAATACACTCATACCATAAAATGTAATAACTTAAACAAGTGCCAGCAGGGCTGAGGAGTACTTAAGGGTGACTTACTCAACGCATGGCTCACAGGAGGTTTTACCCACAGGGTAATGGTTTTCTTTGCACGTACAGTTTGTATTCTGTTCACGATCACCTGACAAAAATGGAAACATTAACCAATGGTATCCAACAATGTAAGTAAGTTAATTTAAGAAGCTTAATTAAGCTTGAGAAACTTACATTCCCTAGTTTTAAACTGTCCAGGTCCACATTCCTTCCTACAGGGAAAACATTCCCATGATGACTCGCTTAATTTCTTCATGTAATATCCCTCCTCACACTCACACACGCTATTGCTCTCTGCTTGACATTGTGTTTTCTCCTTAAAATAGGCTGTGGATAAGTGACAGATGAAAGACATATGAAAACATGGCAAAGATCACATGAATTGGTTATGCAAAGTTTTTAACAATGATCCACTTAGGATATCTCATGTTCATCCATACATTTATAACTTTCTTTCTTCTGTGGAACACACACACAAAAAAGTTGTACCCCATTGACGATCATTGTATGGCCAAAACCTGTTTTTCAAAATATCTTGTGTGTTCCAAAGAAGAAAGAACGTCATCCAGATTTGGAACGATGTGAGGTTGAGTAAATGACAGAATTTTCATTTTTGGATGAACTACAGAAAAACAAATAATGGCATTCACGTCTTTTGCAAGTCCGGCAGCTGAAGCAGTTTGGATTGTAGTTTGCGTTGTCCATGTAGGTTCCATTTTCACATTTCACACACTCTGACCTTAAATTCGGTTCAGGGCATTCCGCTTTCAACTTAAACCCTAAAGTAGGAAATACGAGTAGAGAGGAGGAGGGGGAAAAAAACACATATTGAAGCTGAACAAAAGATTTCTGTGGAAAGCACACCCTGATGGTACATTATCCATATAACCTTTTAAAAATGCTAACAGCTCCATTATATGAATGTTCTTCTAACCAAAAAACAGAATTGAATTTTGCTTTACCTCGATGACATTTATCACAGCAGAATCCCTTCTTACTCAAGTATTCATTATCATGACATTTTGACTTCTCTGTCCCGGCTTCTCTAATTCCAAAATGTGATAGTATTGCGTATGATTGGCTGATCAGAATCTGTGGGGAACACAAGATCATTTGGGTGAAAATGTCTGGGGAAATGGCTATGCTTGGAATGACATGCAATTTATATTATACTGTATGTAGAGTGCACACAAATACTGTATGTGCTTTGCTTGACCTTTCATTTCAAATGTGGTGAATAAGCCAGAAGTAATATCTCACACAATTTCAAATAGCACCTTTTACACTCACATGGTCAGATTTTGTCTTTTAAATTACATTATGTTTGGACTGTATATTGCCTGGAAGTTTTAATACCAACAGCATGCCCAAATACATATACATATACAACATTGTCACATGATGTTTGTTGTATTGTTGAGTTTTTTTGTGGAAAAAAAAAAAGACATTTAGATTTAGACAACATTTAGATGTCCTGTCAAATAATGAGTAATGAAAGAGCCTTATAATTCTTTTGGAGTAATGAACTATATGTACAATATAAAGCGACTTCTCTGATGGGTTGATATTTATTCAAGATTATGGGTAAGGTAGATCTTCACCAGGAAACTTTTTTTTTTTTTTTAAATCATTTAAATTACACTGACTCATGGCTTCTACAAAAGCAATATATATGTCTTAAAAGGTTTATAGTATACATTATCATAAAAAATAAATTAAGGAACTGAACGTTGTGCCCCATTCCAAAGATAAAGTATCCAAATGCCTCTTAATGATAGTCAACATTTTTCATCGTTATTTTAGACGATAACCTTGGTATTTTAGAAAATGAAGGCTTGCTGCAGAGTAAATTGTTTTGCAAATCCTTTCTTACCAGCAATATAATGTGCAGCTGACATTTCCTCATGGCCGCTGTAGAGGGCGCTAATGCAGCTTATTACTTCACCAAACACACTGTCCTGACAGGGCGGAGGATGAAAGAAGAGGACATAAATAATTAAAAGTGCAGGTAACAGACCGTAAATAATTGGCGAATTGTTCATTTCACAACATTACATGGTCGAGAAGACAATGCAAGAGTTAAATGTACTCTTATTTCCTTGTTGTGCTATATCAAGCATAGTAGGCTATCATTACAGTAAGTTAACCTGTTGCGAAATAGCCTAATGCCTAGCTACATAAGAAATTGACATCAGATATAAACCACACACAGTAATATCAAAAACAGATTTTATTGTTACTGGCAGATGAGACCCCCACAGACTTATACTAGGCCTACTAATTATTTCCCCCGTTTTAACACCACGGCACAGTCCCGACTCCCAACGCCCACGTTTGCACTTGTGTCATATTAAAGATCGTCAGAGATAAAGAGATTATACTGAGAACAGCGCGTGAACTTACCTCTACTCATGGTAGTTTTCCTATCCTCCCAAAAACTTTTTTTTATCATCCTTACTGTAGCAAATAACCACAGAAAAGCGTGTAAAAATGTGAGATTTGTTAAGAATCAGTACAGTCCATTTCCTCGGAGAAGGAAAGGCAGTCGTTGACTGGAAATGTTATGCGTCACAATCGTCCGCTCCTCCTCTCGTGCCATGGTCGGTGTTCAGGAAGGAATTCGAGCGGATGGATGAAACCGAAACTTCTGTAGCCTACTCTAAAGCTTCTATTACAACATTAAGAAAGTCTTACACATTGATGGCGCCACACTGCTGAAAACAAAATAATGCTAAGTGCTAAATGTTCATAGGAAAAGTATTAAAGCAAGCTATTAAAAGTATTAAAACGACTATGTTGGGTAACAGTTTATTTTACTGTGTCCTTGTTATGTTACATGTAGGCTACTTACCATAGTAATAAAAGTAAATTATGCATAATTATATCATCTATCCCACCTTAATTATAGGCCTATATTTAAGTACTGGGTAATATATTAACAACATGGCTACTTACAATATAGGGTTAGGATAGGATTAGGGTCAAACCCTAATCCTACCCTTACCCTATATGTAGCCTAGCCTATATGTTGTTAATTAATATTACTCACTATGCCTATAGTTACACCGTAAGGTGCTGTTCACAAAGAATAGCGGTTTTCCATTCCAATGTGCTACTATTCCATCGTTTTTCTAGCGCTAGACAGACTTGTTTAACAGTTGCGCTCGCATTTTGCGGGTTTTGCAGCATCTCACACAGCATTCTAAAAACGCATTAGTTTAACTTTTAAAGGGGTCATAGTACATTTTTTTATCAAGTTGATTGTACTGGAATGTGTGCTGGCAGTGCCATGTGCACAACCATCATATATTGATAATTTTTTTAAATCTCCTTATGCTTATGTTTCCCCCTGTCTCAAATCGAGCCGATCAACTGTGTGACGTCACACAGTCGGACCCCCAACTCGTTTTACGCTTTACTCGCCCACTTTACGCTGGTGCAAAATAGGAATGATAAATGCGTCGGTGTACAAAGTAATTTGCGCCGGGTGCAAGATAGCGTTCGTACAGTATCTCACTCCTAAACCTACCAGTACATTCAAAGATAGATCAAAGTGACATTATACTAACCAATCATTCAGAAACGTCCTGTTCGAGCCTTAATTGTCAAACTTCTTGGGCCGTCATCTTGTTCCGCATCCGACTCCAGTTCAAACTTCTACGGTTGCACAGATGTGTCTTCAGAGACTCCCGCTGCCCTTCTTTATACAAAATATACCCTGAACTGTTGTAAGGAGTAAGACTTTAAAGTCCCTGTAAATGCAATTCTACAAAAAAAATCTAAACACATTATAAATGTTAAAAATGTATTGCTAAAACATATTACAAAGACTGAAAATTGTGAAGAACTGAATTTTGGAGCTAGACCGTTAAACAGTTTTTCACCATTGCTATTTTACGGATTTTTTGGGCGGGGCTAAAACAGGGCTTGATGACACACTGGAGCCCCTGAGCTCGTAGACACGCCCCTACTTGATGACGCACTTGCTCAATCGCGAGTTACTGTCAGTACTATTAGTTACAGCCTACAGGTTTCTAGCTAGCTATGCCTTTGACATGGTTTGCATAGGCTACTACCTGGATGTGATCATGTACAAAACAGATCGGTGTCTTTATTTAAATTTCCTAAAAACGATCACATCAATAAGAGATGGATTAATTTTGTGGAGAGCCAACCTTGATGAAGAGATGAGGATCACGGGATCGTTTTATAAACTTTCGTCGAAGACAACTGGGATTCACTGATTCGCTGTTACTGGTGAATGTGGCCGAACCGACTATCTCCCGCCTCAGACTTCATCCTCCCGTCCCGAAAATCAGCTAATATCCTCCCGTTTCAGCTAATATCACCATCGGCAGCTTTCTATAATATGGTAACCCTATGTTGATGTCTTTTGTTGAGTGTTGGAGAATACACAATGTTATCTTACAGCCTAATACATCGTTTTATATCAAGCTCTCTGTCCTACAAAACCAGAGTTAAAGAATACTTAAGTTACCCAAAAATGAAACAGCCCAATGTCATGACTTTTCTTTCTCCCTAAAAAATACTTTTTTAAGAATGTTTTGGTATATTGCAACTTGCATCCGGATTACTAAGTATGAACCTAAGAACCAGGTCAGATTGAATCTTTCTAAATGGTTTTGAACCTAAGAACCAGGTCAGATTGAATCTTTCTAAATGGTTTTGTAAATAGGATGAACCGATTCATTGATAAGTTCTGACACAAATGAGTCAGACATCGCTATAATTTGCTGGAATACACTGTGACTTTTACCCTGATTAGTCTGGACGAGTTAACTCCAGTTGCCGAAAGTTGGAGCCAGCCTGCAGATTTTGGCTCGTCAGAGTAGATTTCACAAAATAATTGCATAGTGTATGATGGGCATTAAATGATGATCTTCAGACTGTTCCATCCATTTGGACGATATCAAACATGTCTGATATTTTCAGTCAATTTTGGAACACATATCGTTGATTTGCCTTTCTATACTCATGAAGAGTAACAATATGACTTCAGAATACTATTCATGGAACGCTTTTATATTGTATGGGGTTGTGGGGCCCTCTTTAGGCTGGACATCTTCAGTACCCATTTATTGTCAAAGCATGCAAATGGGAGTATAGTTCTTCAAAATGTCTTCTTTTGTGTTTCATTTAGGGAAGAAAGTTATGAGTTTGAACTGAGAGTGAGTAAATGATGACAAAATTCTCATTTATGAGCGAACCATCCCTTTAAGTAATTCCACATTCTCATACACTGCAGAGACTGCACATAAAAATACATACATGGCTTATGTACCTGCTTTTCTGAATTGCATAACAACTGAGGAAATGGTTTTCAAAGCTCTCCCTGTTACAAATTGTGTCTTTCTTTATTTTTCTCTAGGTGGAATATTTAAAGGCTCTTAAACTGTTCACTTCTAGGTTGAGGAAAAAGTTAAAGAGTTCTGTTATATTAACAGACATAATGTTGCGCTTAGCTGCTGAAGCAAAGAAATAACTTCCTCACCTCAAACCTGAAACCACATCCTGTCTCCATTTCCCCTGTGACCTGCAGTGTAACCATGGAGATTGTAAAAACTGCCCACGGATTGTTCTAAAACACAGTGCAAAGACTCATTGTTCTACTATGTGTCTATTCAATTTAAATTCAATATCAAGTTTTGATAATAAATTTGCAATGCAGTTGTATAATACATCTGCGATGCTACCATACCCCCATTTCTAATGGATGAAGCCTTGGCCAGGGAGAGAGGTCATCAGGTGGTGCTCAACCTTCACTGGGTGTTTCGACCCTTAACCACAACACCCTCCAGCTGGCGGGCCAGCAGTGACTGGCCAGGTCACTGCCCCTCTCTTCCAGGCTTCCAGCTTATGTCCTCTCCCTTGTGCCATAGCCAACAGGAGGCTCTCTCTGACGCTTCTCCCAGCCTACGAATGGCTGCTTTCCTTAAGTGGCCCCTCAATCCAACCTTTGTTAATAAATTCCATGCAGATTGAGCAGGGAATCCCTGACATCTGACTTCCACCGTCATCAGCCACGCCGTCCACCCTTTGTCCCGGCAGTCTTGAACAAGTTTCTGGGATTTGGGTTTTTTCCTCTCTGCAGCTTCCTCACAGCCCTCCTCCCACGGCTCTATCAACTCCCCTAGAATGATCTTCCCTCCCTCTGGAGACCACATGATGATGTCCGGCCGTAGTGTTGTGCACAACACCACCTTGGGGAAGTGGAGTTTCCTCCCAAGATCAACCTCCATTTCCCATCCCTGGGCTGACTGCAGGAGATTCTGCCTGACTTGGCTGTGGATGACAGGTCTTTGGCCCTCTTTCACAAAGACGATGTTGCTCAGCAGTGGTCGGGCTTTGGCTGGTTGTTTCTTCCTCCTTTCTTGCTCTAGAATGTCTGCAAGCACTGCCAAGACCTTTTCATGGCGCCACCTGTATCTCCCCTGTGTCAATGCGGTCTTACACCCTGACAGAATGTGCGCCGTTGTTCCTTTCCCGCCGTACATCCTGCACAGTGGGTCCTCCCTCATCCTCCACCTATGCAAATTGACTGGGGTTGGTAAGGTGTCGTACACTGCTCGGAGTAGAAAGGATATACGGAAGGGCTCCATTCGCCACTGTTCACTCCATGTGATTGTCTTTTTGGGGAGGTTCCACCTCGTCCAGGCGCCTTGGGTTGTGAGCTCGATTGATTTTGCTCTTCTCCCTTCTTCCTCAAGGTTTCGGACTTCATCCTGGATCTAGGGGTGGACTTTGACCACTGCTGGAAATGTGCTGTTCCTAGACCCTGTCTTCCAGTGCAAGGCTTCCAGTGCATAACCACATGGGTCAAATGGCAAGATCCTGCGGTTTCAATAGCTTGACCAACAAGGCCAATACTGCACCTGCAGGGTTTTGCTGGCAGATTAAATAATTATTCATTTTAAAAATGGAGCTTGATCGCTTTATATGATGAACAGATTGAATTTAGGCACAGGATTCATATATTAGACAAATAGCTTAACTTAATTATGGCCGATATTAATCTTTCATCCAGATGAATGGGAATGCTAACAGTTTTATAGGTATTATAGACATGCTCCTTAAGTAAACAATAATAATAATAATTGCCCCCTAAACCCTCATTCACTATTCCCTACATTAGTCCACTAATAATGTTCACTTTAGGAGTGAATGAAAAGGAGTGAGCGTACATCGACTGTACACACGTTATTGCGGTGCAATGTGGGATTGAATGAGTGCACTCAATAATGTCCACTGTGGTTTCGGACAGCGCTATAAATAGCTGTACCCACAAATAACGCTCTGTTTGAGGGTATAGGGAGTGATTTCGGATTCAGCCATAGTCTCTTCTAGCCGCCTGACCTTTGACAGAGGGCATTCAAGAGGGCATAGAGGGCAAGAAGTAAAAATTACATTTATTGCGCCAGACTTGAATTTGTTGTCTGTGTAGTCCTATGTTTTGTTTGTACATTTTTCTGTCTCTGATTGCTGAGTTTGTACCTTCATCTCTTGTTTGGTGTCATTAAACTGCCTGCAACTGCATTTATTCAACAATGGAAGCCTTCTTACGTCTCTGATTGGAGACCCCCTTCTTGGAGAGCATTATAATCATAATCTCAGAATACTTTGCCTAAAACTAAAACATCTGATTGTTTTTGATTATCATCTCTATCGCGGTCACTCTCTCACGACACTGCAGTTCTTCATCATCATGAAAGTTTATTATCTGCTTGTGTTTAAAAGCCATATCAGTCTAAACTTCTGATATATGGTTTGATATATGGAAGCGCACACACAGCAAGCTGGATGTCAGACGGCGAGTCCCGTGAGTATTAAACCAAGTTCTCTTTCATGTCTTATTGCATATAATTTGCTGGAATACACTGTGACTTTTACCCTGATTAGTCTGGACGAGCTAACTCCAGTTGACGAAAGTTGGAGCCAGCCTGCAGATTTTGGCCATCAGAGTAGATTTCACAAAAGTCAAGTCAAGTCACATTTATTTATATAGCGCTTTTTACAATACAGATAGTATCAAAGCAGCTTCACAGTGATTACATGAAAATAATATAACACAGATCAGTAATATTGTTGAATATTAAATGTCCCCGACTAAGCAAGCCAAAAGCAAGGCAACAGTGGCAAGGAACCAAAACTCCATCAGGTGATTGAATGGAGAAAAAAACCTTGGAAGGCTCAGTCGGGGGCCAGTTCTCCTCAGGCCAACGAAAGAACAGTGATTACAAAACAAATTGGATCGAAACATTAAGAGAAATTGTCCATTTCCATCTGTTTGGAAGTCGAAGTAATCATGGCGGTTTGGAGACGAGATGTTGAGGATCAGTGCCGATGGCTGTCGTGTCCATGAGGCCGGCACTAAGGATGAGTCGGGATGGGTCCAGGCGCAGGTCCACCATAGAGGGTCCCTCGGGATAAACAGAGAAACTGATATTAGCGTAGACGCCATCCTTCTTTTGATGTACCAAGTACTGTACATCAGGATTTACGGGACGTGTTCCCGGTTCCGGCTGATCTAAACTATGCAGCCTAATTTGAATTTAGGAAGTCTATAGTGTAATGTGTATGCTAGGCCAAAGAGATGTGTTTTAGTCTAGATTTCAACTGACAGAGTGTGTCTGCTTCCCGGACAATGTTAGGAAGATTGTTCCAGAGTTTTGGTGCTAAATAGGAAAAGGATCTACCACCAGCAGTTGATTTGGATATTCTAGGTATTATCAACTGGCCGGAGTTTTGAGTTTGCAATAGACGTGAAGGACTATAATGCGTTAAGAGCTTGCGCAAGTACTGCAGAGCTAAACCATTTAGTGCTTTAAGAAGTACGATGGGCATAAAAATGATGAGCTAGTTGGAGGATATCAAACATATACGTACAGCGTGTCCCGTGAGTTTTCTCTTTCATGTCTTAATTGCTCTTAAACTGTCAAAATTGTCAAATACACACAAGGTTATGTCAAAAAAAACACAAAGTTCACATAAACATTGTCGGTTATGTCTGTGAAGGTAAACAGCAAGTAAAGGAATCGCATGTGTTGGCTATATTAGATCTGTGTATTAAAATGAAAGCAGCGTAATATACATGCTGTTAATATGAATCAAACAACAAAAGATAAAGATAAGATAAACATAAAATCACTCACTGTTCTTGATTGAATAACTTAGTAGCTTTAATAAGAGTACATTTCTTACTTGAATGCTGCTGTTAAATGCTCGGGCGAGGAGATAAACATGGCGGACTGTGTACTGCTCACTTTATGCTAATAGGGTAGAGTCCGTCAGCAGTCCTGGGCGGGGCATAAGCATTTGTGACATCACATTGCATAGAAACTGCAAATGGCTTGTTTCGAGACACTGTGTATGATTTATGGGGATTAAAAAAAGAGGAGGGGTGGATTTTTTATCATTAAAGGGTGGTTGTACACATTACGACACACATTAATGTTCAAACACCATGTAAAAGTGAATTTGGCATAATAGACCTCCTTTAAGACATTTCCTGAATCTGGATACTGAACTTTCAGGATAAAGGAGAACACTTTACTTTACCGACCAGTTTACTAAAATGCAAATCCAAAAAGAAAATAGTGCATTATCTGTCAGGATTTTCATCTCCAGCCCTTAACTCAAAAGAACATCAGTTATTTCACAATTTGCTATCAGATGTCACTTATGGGGGAAAGTGTGAAAACATTAAGAGGAAACTATTGAAATACAAAGCACACTGCCACACCTCCACTGTAACATTTTTGACATTTTGATCTAATACAGTATGACAGAATTGAAGAAGGGTCTCACTCATAAGGGGGAAAACATTTTTATTTGAAGACTGGCGTCGCATGCCTGTCAGCAGGTGATGTTATCTGCATGAGCCGATTTCACTATATCCAAGCGGTTGTAGTGATGTGGCGGTAAGCCCTCCTTTTACTGTAAACACTTAACTGCACTTGTGTGTGTGCACGTGTGCATGTGTACAAGAAAGACATGACTCTTCACTCTTAGTGGTATCCGTTCTGAATAAAACCAATGAGTTGACAGCTCATATGTGTGAACAACAGTTGGGGAGACAGATTACGATAAAACTGAAAAGTGAATATATGCTTTGTAAAATAATCCACAAAAAACACATTGAGGCAGATTTCAGACATAATGTACTTTACACTCTTTGTCTTCATCTTTATTGGATAAAATGATGAGCTTCATGGATTCTGTTGGACGTTATTTCACCATTGACCTCACTACTAATCTCATGTCTCAGAATGATTTGCTTATAGTGCTAGCTTCTTCTTTTTTTACTCATGGTTTTAGTCAGAATGAGACACATGACCCTTTTCATCTAGAGTGTTTTTTTGTGCGTGTGTATTTGTTTCAAAGAGAGTGAGAAAGGAGAGAAAGAGAGAGTTTGTTTTGGAACTATTTGAAAGTTATAACGACATGAAACATTTGATGGAAACTTCGGGGGTAGGGCACAGGAGAAATATTGACAGAGACCCATGCTGCTTCGGTTGGGGGTCCTAGATGGTAAAGTCATCAATAACGTTTGCTGAAAGCTAGTTCATGGATGACTCATCTCGTGACATTCTGATAAAGATTTAATGCTGAAATGATGTCCCCTCATCCTCAAAGTTTCAGAGGGGCCTGACTAACTCACATCTCTCGTCGTTTTCTCACCGACCACAGTTTCAAGGTAAGACTTTACTCTTTCTCATTGCGAATATAAAAGGATTTAACAGGTATGGTAAAAAAAAAAAAATAACAAGGTAAAATGTACTAAATGAGGCACAAGCTATAATCTTTTTGTAAGGGTACAAATGTTTATATCAATGTTAATTAAAAGTTCAAGCGAATACAAATTAAAGCCTCAAATATAGGCTATACACGCAACTGGGTCGAGCTGAATTTAGTAGGCTAAATCAGCGAAGGCAGTCAAGTATTCTGGTTTTTATTTTAAGAATACTCAAGAGATTATTGTATAATCTTATTCCTTTCACTTACTCATACAAGGACGTTAGGCTACTAATATTGTTCGTTAAAACAACATTTTATTTGTTATATTTAAACAATACATAAATATCATCACTGTCAGACAATGTATCTCCATATTTTTTTTCACAAATGATCAGGTGTGTTTGGCTTGAAGCGGAGCCGTCTGTTCTCTAATCACTCTCGCGGTACTTTGATGTCAGGCTGCCAATCATCAGTCTGCGCATCGCTGCTTCGAGCCAAACAAGTCATTGTTTATGTCTGTGTGTGGCTTTTGCAATTATTTAACCAACAAAAAGTATTAAGTAGAGCTAGTGACTAAGCCTAATCTTAACTCAATTGGATCATCAAACTATAGGTAAATAGTCTATAGTAAAACCTCATAAACCCACAATGGGGAATGATGTGCAGTATGCAGTCTGGACCGTCTCTGCTTGTCTGCAATGCAATGGGTGAATAAAGACCTGTTTGTTCGAATAAGTACAGCATTTTCTTTACTCAAGAAATGCCATATATACAGATCAATGTTTTATGTTGGCGCATCTGAGAAGCGAAGTAGCCCTGATAGCACACGTACATCACAGAGAGTCTATTTGATGTGTGTGTTTACATCTGGAAGACGTATTTTTTATATCTGCAATACATCTACAGGACGTTTCCTGTCAAATGTCAAATAGACGTTTAGAAGATGTAATGATTGTTAAACTGACATCTTAATGATGTCTATCAGATGTTAGTAAACAGCAGATGCTTTCCAGATGTTGTGATCTTTAACAGACATCTTGAAGACGTATGTGTGCTATCTGGGAAGAGTGTCTAACAGTCGTAGTGTTTTTAATACCCTGTCATAGCACTTTGTCATTTATAATAACATAAGCTTTTGACCAACTGATAGAAAAAACTGAGCGCCTACATAGCTACAGTAAATTTACCTGTTGGTTGATGAAAACTTAATTCGATGCACTTACTGCCATTTAATGACGTCAAATTCTCAGAAATTTCCAGAAAAGCGCTCGTCAAAAACCTTGAAACTCAATTCGAGCTTGATTTTTGGTAAAGATGTTAATAATGTCTTGATACATGCATCATAAAGCCACAATATCAGCTTAGTTTGTCGACGTTGTGTAATTATTTAAAACAGACTGTTTCAATATGTGCAATGCAAAAAGTGTATGTATTTTCAGCATAAATTGCATTTAGCAAATTATATATACTGTATTGTAGCCTATATGTATTTGGTCATAACTTAGTTCTAGAAGATCTCAAATAAATGAAGAACTTAATATAAATGGGAAAAGGGTATTTATCAATAGGCTACATTAAGCATTTAACAAGAAAGGCCGTCTTTATCAGTCATTTACAGTCAACTAATGCATTTATGATTTGTATGACTCTTTACATACGCTGTTAACACATTTAAAGTCATTCCAGATGTCATGTGTCATTCTGAACCTTCACAAATGATTTTTTTCTCTTCCAGTAAGATGCTTGCCCTGCTCATTGTCCTCCTGCTCTCGTCACATGTCCTTCCTCTCGTCCAATCACTGACGTGCGACGAGAGCACAAAGTACATAGAAAATGATCAGTGCTGCAAAAAATGTGAACCAGGTAAATGAAATGCTGTCTTATCACTGTGAGTGCAATCATAAGACGGTTTGAAGAGAAATGATCAGAGTTGAACTTAAGAGGAGTTAAAATGAGCTAAGCTATCATCAGTTAAGATTAGATAATGAATATGATAAATGGAGTTGAGTTTAGAGGGCTGTATTGAGTTAAACCAACATGTATGAACCAAATAAAGCAGGAAAATCCAAATGTATAGGAATAATCTAATTTTAGAGACTAAATTGATCAATTGAAAAAGACTGGGTGTACTCTTTGAAACTATCAAATAAGACTGTATTATGTAAGAATATTTCAGGGTTCAGTTGATCTATGGTTTGATGACATTTACCTGACGTCTTAGAATGACGCATCAGGTTTCTCGTATAAGGATGACTTGTTCTCTGAACTCAAACTGGTAAACTCTCAAACTGCCACACTGTTATAATTTTGCCTGTACATTAGCAGAATCAGCATGATTACATGTGTTTCCCTGTCTTTGTGTGTGTTTAAACAGGATATCATATGGTAGAGAGATGCAAAACAACAAGCTCATCTGATACTCAGTGTCAGACATGCGAAGATGGCTACTACATGGACATCCATAATGTCAATTTTAATTGTCATAATTGCAGGACGTGCACCGATGAACGTACGTCCACTCCATTTCTTT